ACATATAAAAGGGGATAAAGAACATTAAAACTAAAGCTATTTACATATACAGTTTAATCATGCAAATCAAATGTAACTTGCACGGAACAATTAATCATGCGATGCTCATCTCATAGAAGCATATAGTATCGTCTGAAGATCGAAACGAATCTTCCAATTCGCTGGGGCTACGTTGACTGACTGCATGGTACTCTATGTTGACTGAGCACACCATGTAGTACTGGCTAGTGGCTACGTTGACTGACTTCAGTATCAAACAATAATCCGAGAGCGCTTTCGTCCGAACGATCGATTCCACATTTCCACGAGAAAACTTGAACACCCATGTCACCCTCTCCCTTCTTCACTATATCTCTCCTTTCTAATTGTACAGGCCACTTTGCATACAGCGTATTATACCACTATACCATGGATTGTATCTTAGCTTGCCACGTAGGAACCAAGCCCCGTTTCGGGCCAGGACCATCGCACTGCCAGGAATCACACACGCCTCCTGCAGGGTCCACACACCTCCGCTCGCTCACTAGTAGAAAAATGATTTTTTTACCAACGTTGGTTTTTTATTTTTCCAGACATAAAAAAACCCTCTTATAACTATTTGCGAAAATAGCTAAAGAGCCTCTAGATTTAACCCCGCCTGTGAAAATCAATTTTTCCAGGTGGACGCCTTCCTTTATTTTCGCATATGGACGTCCAACTAGAAAAATTTGATTTCACAGGTGGAACCTTACGTGGTTCGCCTACAAAAATCATGCCTGCAGAAAAAATATTAAGTCGCATCCTTATCTTCTCCTCTACCATCCTTATCCTTTCCACCACTCATTTCCCTCCCCCTCCCCCCTCTCTCTCTCTTCTAACTGATGCGCGTCGGCGACTCTGAGGAGGTCCACTACCAGCTGCGACGGCAACGACGACGACTGCTACGATGATGATGGTGCCGACGCCTGGGTCTCGCTGTCGGCTGCGATGACGAAGACGACGCCGCGTGGATCCGCCGCCGGCCGATCTTGGGGAGGTGAGGGCAGGCGGCGGCAACGACGAGGTGAGGCGGCGGCACCTTGGTTCCTCCCTCTCCCAGCCTGGCAACGACAGCGACGATGAGGGCTAGCAGCGGCTTGGCGACGAGGAGGGGAGGCAGCGGCGGCGCTCCAATCCTCCCTCCCTTCCTCCTAGATCTATCCATCGGTGGCAGAGGCAGGGCGGAGGAGGAGCTGATGGTGGTGGCCATCGCAGACAACGTCGGCCCCTCCCCTCCTAGATCTGGACGGAAGAGGGGAGCCGGGCAGCGGCGGCGGCGAACAGAGGAGGAGAGCCGTCGGCCACAAGGAGAGGGGCTGTAGAGGGGAGGCCGACGGCGGCGCTCACGGGTATGGGTGCGGCAGCATGTTTTTTTTTGTTCGCTGAAAATATTTTCGCAAGCAGGTGGATCTACCACTACGAAGATGGAGATGTTGCCTACGAAAATGATTTTCACAGGCCTTTGTGTACAAGTGGTCATTTCCCCCGCCTGGAAAAACTATTTATGGCTGCCTGGGAAAACGATTTTCCTAGTAGTGGCCCTAGCTTAGGAACTGCGAAGGTGAGGTCATCTCCATGTGGTAGATCCCCATCCATCTCGTCCTTCTCCTTCTTCTCCTTCTTTGCTCTTCGCCAGAAAGAGCACTTGTGTCGCTGGGAGTTTGCTGCTCGATTCATCATCCTAGTCGCCAGCCTCGCCGCCAGAGCCATTTTGATCTACACACCGACCAGCGCCACCTCAGCCCCCGCACTAGGAAGCATGGTGGTGGCCAGCGAAGGATGATAAGAGAAGGGGGTATGGCAGTGGTCACCTCCATAGCGGGAAGACACTGCGAGAAGCTCCGCTGGCCAATGACGCCCCTATCTATGCTGCCGATGTCTATTCCGCCGCCCCGACCATCACTTCAAGCTGATCCGCCCGACCACCGCTGTTGGCAGATCCACTTTCGCGGCCCTGATACATGCCGTGCCTCCTTGGTCTTCTTGGTGGTGCTGCCAAGGAGAGTGGGGGAAGAGGTGGCTCCACCAAGAAGTGGAGAGGTCATGCCAGGAAGGGGAGAGGTGCTACCAGGAAGGGGAAAGGCAATACTGCCTGGAGGAGAAGGGGAGAGGTGGTGATGCCGCTCGATGGAGAGGAGGACAATTAGAAGTTAGGGAGAGTAGGAGAGGTAGAGGGGTGGGTTATCATATATGTTTATGATTCTTAGAGTCCATATCATAAAATATTGGATTTATTTGTCATTGAAAAAAAATGAGGATTTAAATACAAAAGTATCCGACTGATCAAGGCTGAAATACAAAAATAAATACATGGCTATGGCGTGCATTGGATGAAGAATATCACATGTGTGGTTTCATCCTAAGTGGCACCTCCTTTTTTTCTTTGGCTATGGCTTCCATTGGTCATGCCCTAAGTGTCCGTGCATGTACATGCATGAAAACATAAGGAAAAAGTACGAATTACACCTCTGAACTATCGAGGTCGACCGAATTACACCCCCGAACTCAAAAACCAGACATTCTACACCCTCAACTATTGAAACCGGACAAATTACCCCCCTGAGCACTGTTTTAGGTGGTTTTGGGATAGACTTGCTGATGTGGCAGTCCTACGTGGCCGCACACGTGGCACTGGCCCCACATGTCAACCTCCACCTCATCCACCCTCTCTTAAAATAATTAGTGGGACCCACTGTCAGATCCCCACCCCTCCCTATCTCTCTCTCTCTTCTCCCTCCCCTCCCCTTCTCTCTCTCAGGCGTGCGTCAACGGGCAGTGGGCGGCGGCAGCGGCATGCGGACGGGCGGCGAGCGCGGCGGCGGGCGTGGCGGGGAGTGGTGGGAACGGGGCAGGCGGCGGGCGTGGCGGGGCGGGCGTGATGGCGCCGTGCCCCCCTGTCGCGGCGGAGGGCGGCGAAGTGGCGAGGGCGACGAAGTGCCCCCCTCTCACCCCTCTCTCTTGGGCCGTCGGGAGGTCGGCGCGCACGCCCGAGCTCGCCGTTGTCATCTTCAATGTCCTCGGCGCCCGCCGCCCGTCTCGCCCTCCCCACCGCGCCCGCCGGTGCTTGAGGCGGCGGGAGGAGGGGATAGCGGAGGGGAGGCTGTCGAGACAGGCTGGGATGCCGGCAAGCGCCCGCGGAGGGGATGCGGCGAGCGCGCCGAGAGGGAGGAGGCGGGCGGCGCTTCTCTCCGCCGCCGCGCCAAATCTGAGCGAGCAGGTGTCGGGGAAGGGGTAGCGGGGCACGGCGGTCGTCGTCGGGCCAAAGGTGGTCATCGCAGCAACGAGTATGGCTGGGCTCATCGTACTCCGGCGGGAGCGGCTCGAACGACGACGACGGCGGCGTCTGGGGGATGACTCCGACGACTCTCCCGGCCTCCCCGCTCCCTCGCCAGTCTCCTCCCTCCTTAGCCCGCTCCCTGGCCTCCTCACCTCCTTCCTCTCTGCCCGCCCAGCTCGTGCTCCGCCTGGACCACCGCCGCCGCGGCCTCACGCTGTCGTCCTCAAGATGCTGCCGGCCGGCGCCACGACGGCCCGCCTCTCCGCGATGGACGCCGGCGCCCACCTCTCCCCCATCCCCTCCACCTCGCTGCGCGCCGCCGTTCGCGCCGACCGCCGGCCTGCCCCCGCGCGCCGCTGCCCATCGCATCCCCTCACCGGCGCTCGCCTCTCTGCCATGGCGTGTCGCCGTGCGCGGCGCTGCCTGCTGCTGGCCGACGAAGAGAGAGAAAGAGTGTATGACATGTGGGTCCCACCATTTTAAAAAAAATAAAATGCTGACTGGACTGCCACATCAGCAAGTCTATCCCAAAACCACCTAAAACAGTGCTCAGTGGGGTAATTTGCCCGGTTTCAATAGTTGAGGGTGTAGAATGTTTGGTTTTTGAGTTCGGGGGTGTAATTCGGTCGACCTCGATAGTTCAGGGGTGTAATTCGTACTTTTTCCAAAACATAATAGCAACACTTTAAACATGTTTTCTCGTAAATTATACTCCCTCCGTTTTTTAATAGATGACGCCGTTGGCTTTCTCTCACATGTTTGACCATTTGTCTTATTCAAAAATTTTATGCAAATATATAAGATATAAATTACACTTAAAGTACTATGAATGATAAAACAACTCATAACAAAATAAATTATAATTACGTAATTTTTTTTGAATAAGACGAACATGTGAGAAAAAGTCAATGGCGTTATCTATTAAAAAACGGAGATAGTATATCATATCTATGATCTGATCACATAATTGTATCTGTTACAATATATCTTTATAACAAGGTCTATTATATTTCGATGAAAGTATTTTGAAAGTTTTTTCAGTGCATTGGATTATTTAGTGTTGCACATAGTGTTATTTATATGTTTCATTAAGTATTGTTTTATGTTTTACTAATTCATTTGTTAATGTTGTACACAATATTTTTTTGGATGTTTCACTCATTATTTTATGATGTTTCACAAAACCATAACTTGATGTTTTATGTGTGACATAAAAATGTTTCAATTAAGTTAAATATTTTATTTTTGTTTCACTCATTGGAATTAATTAATGTTTTATGTAGTGGTTTTTAGCGCTGTAGTCAGTATTTTTTCAGTGTTGTATCTCACTGAAACATTTCATGGAGTGAGTCAAAATATTTTTTTTATATGGGATGAAACAAGGCTAGATTTTTAATATACGTATTTTTTTATCAAAATATAACTGTATTTGATCTTGTTATAAAGATTAATTGTAATGAATACAACAATATAGTCGAATTATTGATCGGATAATTAATTTAGTGAGTAAAATCATTTAAAGTTTGATAAAAAAAGTATTAGTATGATGAGGAGAGAGTAGTCGAGGAGAACATACACGTAGGAGCTTGTGGTCCTGTACAAGCAGCTAGGAAAAATGGTACTCCTACATGAAGTCCGATACATATTTGCTTCCACAATAATCTAATGAAGTCTTCAGGCCTGCTGCTGCACAGCACAAGTGCAGAACTAACCAGCCAGCACCGCCTCTATAAATACATACATGTTGCCACTCGCACAATTGCACTGCAGACTGCAGTGCACATCTGCACACGTTCTCGCCAATCGCCGGGCGGCCATGGCGATGAACTTCGAGATGTGGGGCGCGGTGTGGTCTGCGCTGGCGAGCCTCGTCTTCCTCTGGCCCATGCTGCAGAACCACGTCCCCGCCGGCCTCCGCCACTGGCTCACCGCCATGGCCGACAAGCTCGCCTCCCACCTCAGCCCCTACCTGCACATCACCATCTCCGAGTACGGCGACCACCGCTTCCGCCGCAGCGACTTCTTCCTCGCCGTCGAGGCCTACCTCAGCCACGCCTGCGCCCGCCGCGCCCGCAGGCTCAAGGCCGACCTCGGCAGGGACGCCAGGAGCGTCCAGGTCTCCGTCGACGACCACCAGGAGGTCACCGACTCCTTCCGCGGCGCCACGCTCTGGTGGTACCCTTCCTCCATGTCCAACAAGTCCAGCGTCATCAGCTTCTACCCCGGCGAGGATGAGCGCCGCCTCTACCGCCTCGTCTTCCACCGCCGCCACCGCGACCTCGTCCTCGACGGCTACCTCCCCCACGTCCTCGCCGAGGGCCGCGCCGTCACCGTCCGCAACCGCCAGCGCCGCCTCTTCACCAACAACGCCAGCACCAGCTGGAACCCCTACCGCCGCGGGAAGGGCGTCTGGAGCCACGTGCCCTTCGAGCACCCGGCCAGCTTCGACACGCTCGCCATGGACCCCGGCGACAAGGACGCCATCGTCGTCGACCTCGTGGCGTTCCGCGACGGCAAGGACTACTACGCCAAGGTGGGCAAGCCATGGAAGCGCGGATATCTGCTCTACGGCCCGCCCGGCACCGGCAAGTCCACCATGATCGCCGCCATGGCCAACTTCCTCGACTACGACGTCTATGACCTCGAGCTCACGGCCGTCAAGAACAACACCGAGCTGCGCAAGCTCTACATCGAGACCACCGGCAAGTCCATCATCGTCATCGAGGACATCGACTGCTCCATCGACCTCACCGGCAAGCGCAAGAAGTCCTCCGGCGACAACAAGGCGTCCGACGGCGGCGGCGAGGGCAGCGACGACAAACCCAAGCTGCCGACCGAGGCGGACAAGGACGACGGCGGCAGCAAGGTGACGCTGTCGGGGCTGCTCAACTTCATCGACGGGCTGTGGTCGGCGTGCGGCGGCGAGCGGATCATCATCTTCACGACGAACCACAAGGAGAAGCTGGACCCGGCGCTGATCCGGCGGGGGAGGATGGACGTCCACATCGAGATGTCCTACTGCGGCTTCGAGGCGTTCAAAGTGCTGGCCAGCAACTACCTCGGCGTGGAGCAGCACGAGCTGCTAGGCGACATACGGCGGCTGCTCGAGGAGGCCGACATGTCGCCGGCGGACGTCGCCGAGAACCTGATGCCCATGTCCAAGAGGAAGAAGAGGGACCCTGACGCGTGCCTGGCAGGTCTAGTCGAGGCGCTGAACATGGCCAAGGAGGAAGCACAAGCAAACAAGGCGGCGAAAGAGGACGAGGAGGCAAAGGCAGCGAAAGGGATAGAAGAGATGAAAACCAAAGAGCAGGCAACGACCAACGGTGAAGACGAAGGGAAGGACAAAAGGACATCGGAAGAGAACAAGGCCAACGGCGACATATAGATATTACTAGCAAGGTGACAACTAAGGATAAGTATTTTTCTACACCTAGGTGTTATGGCACCCATCATTTACTAGCGACTCAGATAGTTATTGAAAAAAAATTGTAACATTAATTGTGATGATATAAGTTTAAACACAAACATGCAAGACTATCTACAACTAGAGAAACAAAATTAACAAAATTAGATAGTTAATTGTACCCGTACATCGCAGATAAAATTTGTTATTTTTATTTTTTCATGTGTAGATCGAATTTAGACTTACATATTTGTATAGTGTCTTATATTATCATAGTCTATCTTATTAAATTTTATGAAATTTTTATATAACTGTTAAACTATATGCATACATTAGGTGTGGAAAATACTTTTCGAACAAGCTGAACGCAAAATACTACAGTACGTTCTCAACTAAAGCTCGTCCCTCGTTTACTATTCCTACAGTAGTGCAGGTCAATTCTGTGTGCTTACTGGTTGTTTGATTACGATTCTCTGTTCTTTTTCAGTGGGATCATATCGGGCAGCTGCAGATCCCTGGAGTTGCAAGCCATGTATCCTAGCAGAGTGCTCATGAAGATTTTCAACCTTTATTTTTACATAACAGTTTGCTAATAGGGCCTGCGAAATTGTTAGCATTTCCGTATTATATTAAGGCTGATAGTTGCTTGTATTTTGTAAGAATATAATAATGCTATGCACGCCTTCAAGCAAAGAGATTGGAGGTAATCTGGCCGGGACTAGTGCCTAGATTTCAGACGCCAAATCAAACGGTTTTCATCGCTGGCCTTAGAGCAAGTTTAATAGTATAGCCCATTACTAGCTCTAAATCATCTATAGTCAATATAATAGCTAATTCATACAATAGTTGATTACTATACTATTAATACCTGGTCCCACCTGTCATACACACATTACGTCTTGGAGTCCGTGCTGCAGCTGACTACAGATCTGTAGCCTGCTGCTCCACTACGCCGGACCAGGCCATCTCTGACGGGCCCAAACGTAACTTTGTTGATCTCTGACGGGCCCAAACGTAATTTTGTTGATCTCTGACGGGCTAAACATAACTTTGTTAGTCATCTCTGTAGCCCGCTGCTCCACATTACGTTTTGGTTGCTTGATCTAAGGTCGTTTGAAAATTTTGAATTTTCATTGTGAGCAATTCAAACGTAACTTTGTTGGATAGATGATTTCAAAAGAAAAAGTTATCGACTACAAAATTTTTTAACTTTTTGAGATCAACAACTATCATTTTTCCCATTTCTCCGTCGGAGGTCATTTGAAAATATGAATTTCAAACGCAATTTTCCTTGAATAGATGAGCCAAATGAAAAGGCTGTCATCTACAATTGTACAACTTTTCGAGATTTACAACTTTCGTTTTTGTCGCTTCTTCATCTGACATCATTTGAAAATTTTGAATTTCTAATATGTTCAATTCAAACCTGATTTTGTTGGATTGATGCTTTCAAATAAAAAAGTTGTCAATTAACTACAAAATTTTCTAACCTTTCAAGATCGACACCTTTTGTCTTTGGTCATTTCTACATTTGAGGTCTTTTGAAAAATTTGAATTTCAAATGTTGGGAAATTTCAAATGCAAACTTCCTTGGATAGATGAGCCAAATTAAAATGTTGTTAACTACAAAGTTGTATGACTTTTTAAGATCTACAGCTTTTGTTTTGTTCATTTTCTTTATCCAAGGTCATTTGAAAATTTTGAACCTCAAATATGAGAAATTCAAAGGTAATTCGTTGGATAGATTATTTGAAAGAAAAATTTATCAACTTGCGTTTTGGGTTTTTTTTTCCATTCAAGGTCATTTGAGAAATTTGAATTTCAAATATGAGCAATTCAATGGTAATTAAATTGGATAAATGATTTGAAATAAAAATTATCAACTACAAGGTTTTATAACTTATCAAAATCTTTAACTTGCGATTTGGTCGGTTTCATCATCCGAGGTTGTTTGAGGAATTTGAATTTCAAATGTGAGAAAGTTCAAACATACTTTTCCTTGGATAGATGTTTCCAAATGAAAACATTTTCAACTACAAAGTTTGACAACTTTGAATATCTGCAACTTTTGTTTTGATCGTTTCTTCATCTGCATTTGAAAATTTTGAATTTCAAATACGAGTAATTCAAACATAACTTCTTTGGATAGATGATTTCAAATGAAAAAGTTTTGAACTATAAAGTAGCATAACTTTTCGACATCTACAACTTCGATTTTGGTTGTTTCTCCATCCAAGGTCCCTACCACTACACACTCAATTGTGACCATGGAGCATTTGGATTCCTTTGGTTTAACTTTGTCGAAAAGTTGTCAACTATAAAGGTGTAGATCTCATCGAGGATATAGCTATATTGGTCGAGTTGTGTTTTAACTATGTTGGTCTAAAATAAATTTGAACTGGGACGAAATTGGAAGCCTCCGAGCATCTCCCAGAGTATTCTAAATTCTCTTCCTAAAAATATGGTGTTTTTAAAGTCCCAAAAAGATAGAGAGAAATAAAATAGCCTATCTCCAAAAGTTTCCAATATTCCACTTCCATAAAGATCAAACTTTGGATTTTTTTTGGGGCACTATTTCGGAGAGCGCTACGGCTCGGACGTCCGATATTTCACTATATATCGGACGCCCAGCCAACCACTAAGCGCATGCTACTGCGCTTCTTTGCTCCTCGATCACGGGCTTATGGCTGTGTGTTGGATGGCTCTTTTCATGTCTAGATGGCAGCATATCACTTCTTGCCGCTACATGCATGTTATGGCTGCATGTCTACTCTTTAAACAAATCATAACGTGTCTTCTCCTTTTTTTTCTCTCATATATCTACTCTTTAAACAAACTTTAATCTTAAAATGCAAATCCAATTTTTATTCAATTACGCCATAAAATATATGTGTCTCAAAAAATCAATTGTTTTTATCATTTATAGAAAATTGTTTCACCATTTGTGCCTATGTTTCAATTCATCTCATGTGATGTTTCAGAGAATTGCAACATATGAAAAATACTAGTTGCAACAATCATAACCACTAGATGAAACACTAAATACCATCATGTGAAACATAAAAAAAACATACATTATATTTGCAATTTAAATACTTGATTTTATTAAAAAAAATTAAACCACACATGAAGCATAGTTGTTATTGTTGAAAAAAATCATTCAAAAGAACACCACTTGTGCAACATTTTCAAATAACATAGTGGAACATTAGGAAATACTCATTGGAACATCCAAATAATATTAGGTGCAACACTAAGAAAATCAGTAGCTGAAAAATAAGTTTTGATAAAGTTGTGGGGTCTTGTTATTAAGATTTAATCGTAACAAATATATTGGTGTAATTAGATCATGGATTGGACAAATAGTTTAACTAGAAAAATCATTTGAAGCTAATGATTTCTTTTTCTTCCCTTTCACATAGTGTGCCAGGTTAACACCTGGGCTGGCAGAGCACTAGAGTTGTATGGGCCACGAGCGTCCGATGCCATCCGACGTACGACAGGAAGCATTTCCGCACTATTTCTTTTTCATGCGAGGTCCATCTGCTTGCGCTGGACTCTTCGCGCCGCCGCTCGGAAACGACGACGGGGCGTTCGTTTGCCCGGGCATCTATTTGGACTGCCGTCCAGGTACAGAACGCTGAAATTCTGTGTGCTTGATGCCATACAATGTGTGCTTCTGTAGGTCTGTTAGGCTGAAATTCTGTTGGCCATACATCATGAGATTTACGGCTCAGGTTGTGTACGTTTATATGTGTATTTGTAAAGTATTTCTGGGATTATTTTTCTAAAGGAAAATGACCATAGATAAAGCAAAGGCACATGCGCACAGCACTTTCGTTGTTTGGAGATGTGACGTCATCAAGCTAACAAGGAGCACGAATCGGCCCTCTTGGCGTTGCGTGCGAGCGTGTGCGATAGCCGAGGCCGCTGCTCACCGGAGTCGCCGCCGCCTGTGCCGAGGTCGAGGACGCTGATGCTGCCGCACCCGCTACCCGCCGAGGTCGCTGCTCGCCGGCGCGAGGGCGTCGCCTCTCCCGCTACTCGACAAGGCCGAGGTCGCTACTCGCCGAGGCCACTGCTTGCCGCCGGTGCGGAGGCCAGCGCCTCTCCCACTGCTCGACGAGGCCGAGGTCTCTGCTCGCCGGCGGGAGCCACCTCAGCCATCGTTAGCCGCTCCGGCGTCGCTCCCGTCGGGATTGCGTGTGTGCGGGCACAGAGCTGGCCTGCGGGGCTCGCGGTCGCGGCCGGCGTCGCGCAGCAGCGCGCCTGGTGTGCGGAGATGGGACAAAAGCGGCGACGACCGGTCGGAGTGGAGGATGCAGGCGCCAGCAGAGCACGCAGCAGAGCAATCAGCGCCTGTAGGCGTATACGTACGTAATAACCGCAAACAGGGTAAGAACTGAATTTCTTCAAGGAAACGGAAACGGAAAACGTACAGATACCAAAACCGGACTGCAAACGAAACGGAGACGGAGAGCTTATTGATGGCTGGAGCGCTGGAGCATGATGCAGACACACAAGTGAATTGCCTGTGTTAGCGAAAACCAACGATTGAACACCTTTCGTGCGTTCTGCACCAATCCGGCAAGACAACGACGAAGCACAGTGAAGAACAAAGACGATATTCAGAGAAGAAGAAACAGAGGAAAGCAGAGGAGTTTCAGAACTTTGCAGTTTGCACGAGAAGGAAATGCGTGTGGAATTTTCTGTAGATTTCATTCAACTGAATAAAGAAACTTACAAATGGAAATTTAGCTATTCTGCTACTTATACTCCATAAACAGAAAAAGGAATCCTAGGCTCAAATCGCGCCATCCCACGATCCGGAACTCCTGGATTCAACGCCGCGCAAAACTCACGCCCACAACGCACGACCTGACGCGGTCGCCAACTCCTGCAGCTCGCCACATCTCTCGTGCACGCATAACAAACTCAAAACTGACTTATTCATCCAGCCGTTGCAAAAGCCACAGTCTGGAACACCTTGGGGCCACAGCTGAAGTAACAACGTCAATAGCCTGATCATCAGCTTCCTTCAGCAGCACCGCTTTTGGATGGTGAGGTGTCCGGTCATGTGCCAACCCTCTTTCTCGCCGGCTTCGCCGCGCGCGTACGGGCACCACGGCGTGAAGTTGGGCAGGCTCTCCAGCATCTTCCACTTGGCGTTGGGGTCCTCCTCGTCGTCGGCAATGCCGGTCCATGTCGGCGTGGAGTACTCGTAGCGGCTGTGCGTGATGCGGTGGAACTCCTGGATGTCCCTGTTCTTGGCCATGTCCGTGGTGTCACGCAGGTTGACGGAGAAGATGTCTCCGTAGGGCCTGACCGAGTGCGTGAAGTGGGGCATGGAGATGGGGTCGGCGGAGACCGCGGCGAGGTCGGCGGCGAAGACGATGCTCTTCATGTCCGGGCTGAACACGGGGTGGTTGATGTGCCCGGCGATAGTGGGCGCGCTGTGGATCACCCGCACGGGCACCGGCACCTCGCCCTTCTTGATGTCTTTGGCGTTCACCAGGTACACGGCGAAGTAGCCTGGGTCCAAGCCGTGGTCCTTCTCCGGCTCGTCCTTGCCCTTGACTATGTCTTTCTCGGGCCTGCCGGTGGAGGAGAAGACGATCCAGTCGCAGCCCTCCCGCGGCGACCAGCTGCAGTGGGTGTCGGTCCAGGGGCCGTCGGTGAGCGGGACCACACCGGCGGCCTCCCCCTTCTCCGCGTCTATGATGTAGAGGTTCTTGTGCTGCCTCTCCCCTCCGGCCACCCTGTTCCTGCTTGACCGGAACACGAGCTTGGTGCCCTCAGCGTTGGTGGACGGGAACGCGCAGTTGTACTCCTCGTCGGTGAGCGGGAACGTCTCCATGTTCTCGTAGTCCTCCCGGGACACGTTGGGGATCCTCATGATCTGCACCGGCTTGTCGATCGAGAAGGCCGGCCCCTCGCAGACGTAGAGCGTGTCCAGGTCGTCGTTCTGGTTCCACGACGTGGAGAAGACGCTCTTGGTGGCCCTCACCTTGTACACCACGCGGAGGCCCCTGCCGTCGGCGAGCCACACGGCCTTGAACTCGTTGTCCACGAACGCCAGCTTCTTGCCGTTCTTGGAGACGGACGGGAACACGCCGGTCACCCTGAAGAGCCCCACGTCGGCGTGCGACTCCGGGGGCTGCACCTTGTCGAACCTCCTCTGGATGCTTGTCGTCGGAGTACTCTTTTGGTTTTGGACCTTGAGTAGCTTGTCGGTTCGACAGCGGTGGTAGCCCACGCGTGTTCCTCCGTCGAGCACGAAGGGGTTGTAGTGGTCCCCTTCAGGCCTCGTCTTCTGGGTGATGGGCACCGACGTCTTGGAGGCCGTGTCGAAGATCTCGATGTGCCTGTACTGCGTCACCACGCGCTCCACCTTCATGAGGACCTGCTTGGACTTCTCGCGGACGGTCGCCACGGCCACCTGGGTCTCGCTGATGGCCGCCGGAGTCATGGCATCGATGCTCTCATCCGTCACGCGTTCCTCCTTGCCAGCGGCGATGTCGAACCGGAAGACGCCCCACCTGGCGGTGTTGGAGGGCGGCGTGGTGTCGAAGCCTCGGTGGAAGAAGATCACGTTGTCGCTGCCCCACGTCGGCCAGCCGCCGTCCTTGATGAGCACCTTGCGGTCGCTGCGGCCCTGCGCTCGTTTGTCCACGTTCATGACCACAATGTCCGTCTTGAGGTTCTCGATCTCGCCGTTCCACCTGTTCTGCTGGAAGTTGGCCACCGCCACCATCTTCCCGGACGGCGACACCGCCGGGCTCAGATCGTACTGGCCCAGCGGCGTCAGGCGCTCGGTCTTGCCGTCGGCGAGGTCGGTTCTGTACACCACGGTCCACGGGGTGCGCCGTGCTTTCACCGGCGCCTTGGTGGACACGTACACCAGGGAGTGGCCGACGGTGGTACGCCCAACTTTGAAGCCGCCAGCGACGCAGCCGCTGTCCTCCATGCGCACTCCGCCGAAGGTGTCGGCACCGTAGATGTTGCCCAGGCTCAGCACCTTGACCTGCTTGCCGCCGGCGACGAAGCGCAAAGCCACGTGCAGCGTCTCCAGGCCCCTGTCCCTCTCGGAGACGAACACCAGGCCGGTGACGCGGCCTTTCTCCGCGTCCTCCGGGGTGGCGCCGCACTCCGACGCCAGCTTCGGGTTCTTCTTGCCCAAGAACGTCAGGAGCTCTTTGAGCGCCGCTGCTGGGATGGGCTGCCCGTTCTGGTTGTATGACTCCCCGTCGGTGAGGAGCAGCTCGTCCTTGGCAGACTGCGGCGGCGGATTAGCGGGGCAGGAGAAGATATCCAGGGGCACCGGTGGCCTGTAGGTGCCGAAGAAAGCGATGCTGCCGCGGCTCTTCCCCATTCCGATCTGTCCAAAGAAAGAACAAAGAGATGTTCTTCACTTAATGATCTGTCGGTTTGTGTTTGTGTGGTTAGATGATGAGCTTGGATGCCTCATTTATAGAGTAGCTGTTGATTGATCACCTGGCTTTCAAAGCATGTGTCTTGACTAATCTCTGTATATCGAAATCCGCGCAGATTAGTGTGCAATTGTAGTGAGGCAAAAATGAGCGGTTCGTGCATATGCTCTTCCCGTGAAGGGCTAAAATGTAAAATATAAACTTTGGTTCTCTAAACTTTAGGTGTATAAACTTTAGGTGTATAGAAGTACTATATATAAAAATATTTAAATTCAAATTCAAATTTGAATCGGATATATAAACTTTTGACTTGTAAACTTTGGGTCTTTAAACTTTAGGTGTATAAACTTTAGATATGTAAACTTGAGGTGCACAAATTTTAGGTGTATATATTTACTAAAATAGGAAAGTAATGTGGTGCCAAAAAAGGAAACCACGTGGAGGGGGTGATTGATGTGGGGAGGGGGACCGATCGTGCCCGGCGATCGATCGCCCCTTACAACTAATCGGCCTCTCGTCCTCTCCTGAAGGGTTGACCACTTGACCCCATGTCTCTTCCCCTTCCAACGATCCTTTCTCGATGCCTCCCGATAATGGCGCTGGCATCTAAAAATCATGAACCGTCGGATGGAGCAGTCGACTTTATTATAGCCGTACACTACTACAAATAGTAGTATCAAATAGGTGTGCCACTATAGGTGCAAGAAGTGATAAAACCGGCAACTATAGTGCTCTTCCCACCCTCAAAAGAATAAAAAAAATTAAAACCGACACCTTTAAACGAAGATAGGTGTCGGTTTTAGAGAAAAACCAACACCTATATTATAGGTGTCGGTTTTTTTACACCTATAAAATCGAGCCTAGCCAGCTGGGGGAGATATTTTTCCTCCCGGTGGGGCCCACACCCACACTGGCAGGAGATAAGGTCAAGCCTTCTCTCGGCTTCTCCCCTAGCTCCTCAATTTCCTCTCTCTCTCTCCACTTCTCCCCTTCTCTCGGCTTCTCCTCTCCTCTCTCTCTCTCTCTTTGCGGCAGCGGCGGCCTCCCCTCCGCTTTATCGGGGGGAAGGGAGGTGCAGCGGCGGCCCGGACCTCCCCTCCGCCAGATCGGGGAGAGAGAGGCACTAGTAAAGGAATGATTTTTCTAGACGCCGGCCCCGATAGATTCCAGACGGGCTATAAGTGGCTCCGTTTAGAAAAACCGAATGACCGGCGTTGGGCTGTCACCCGCACGGGAATATACATTTTCCTGTGCGGGCGTCTTAACCCGACCGCACAGAATAATCATCATTATCCCATGCGGATGCGGTTGACTTAAGAGGACCGCACTGTCGACGGTGGATACCCGTAGACCGGATATAGAGGGTATTGGGGTACGTTGGTACGAGGATCTACGTAGTACGACATCAAGCAAACAAAAGACAAGGATTATACTGGTTCAGGCCCCTTGGTAGGTAATAGCCCTAATCCAGTTGGTATGGGATTATATGATGGAGACCATAGTCGAGTTGGTTCGACTAGATCACCCGATGACTTGGCTCCTGTAGGCTCCGGCTTCGTAGGCTGTGGTGGATGTGTTGGCGGTGAGATTCGATGCCTTAGGTCTTGCTCAGGGGGTCCCTTTTATACCACGGGTTAGTTGATCTCCAAGTAGGACTCGGAGATATTGGACCCCTCACGATATGGTAAAGACCTAGTCTTATCCGAGTAGGACTCCTCCCATCTGTGGATTCTGTTTCTATCACGTGATAGATTTCCTTAACGTATAAAGGAACTATCCGTATACGCGCGGGTATACCGTATCGGCATACAACGTACATCCAAGGATAGAGGGTATACCTTATCCGTAACCCTGACACACATGGAAAAATCGATTTTCGCGTGCGGGCTTTTTAAGTGGACCGCACGAAAAAATACCTCTCCCTCTTTTCCCTCTCACCACTTCAAAATTTTCACATCCTCTCTCTTCTTTTCCCCTTTTTTATTCTCCTCAATCACTCCTCTCTCTTTGCCTCCCCTCTCCTCTCTCTCTCTCCTTTGCCTCTTGTCGGCAACGGGCCGGGGTGTCGCTGCCGCTGCCGCCAACGGCGCGGGAGGCGACGCGGTGGCTACTGGTGGAGGAGCGGCGGTTGCTCTCCCTCGCCACTGTCTCAGGAGGCTGCTCCCCCTCGCCGCCCTCGCGAAGCTCCGGGGAGGCCGATCCATCGCCGGCAAGCTCGGGGGAGGCCGATCCATCGCCGCGCGGCTCGGCGAGCGCGGACGTTGATGACTCCCGCGACGACGACGGCCGGGCGACGGGGGGCGCGGTCGACGGCGATGGCTCATCGACGGCCGGGCGGTCGTGGCGCGGTCGACGGTGAAGGCGGCGACTCAATCGCCCTCCCCCGCGAAGCTCCGGTGGCGGCCTCGAGCGACGAAGATGAGGCGGCGCCGCCGGCTCCGCGTGCATGCGCGCCAGCCGGCCGGATAGGGTTTCGTTTTTTGATTTTTGATTTTTTTTGGTATTTGATTTTTCTGTGCGGGTGACATAACCGGACCGCACGCAAAAATTTGATTATTCCGTGCGGTCCACCTAATCTAACTGCATATGAAGATGGATTTTTCTGTACAGTTGGTTTGCCCGCATGCGAAAATATTCATTTTTGCAGACCCTTGGTTACAGACGGACAAAACCTCCGCATAGAAAGATGCATTTTGACCATACGGGAAAATGTGATTTGTAGTAGTGAGGAGGTGCAGCGGCGGCAAACGACATGGAGGCGGCTGCGGTCCGGCCGCGGACGATATGGAGACCGGCTCCCGGAGAAGAAGAAATATCCGAGGTGTCCCACAATCACATGCTCGATTGGGACACAACACTTTGACCAGTCCCTCTGCGACTTGGGAGCAAGCGTAAGCGTCATGCCCAAGGACGTCTTTGACAAGCTGAACTACACGGTGTTGTTACCAACACCGATGCGGCTCCAGCTGGCTGACTCGTCGGTCTGCTACCCAGCGGGAATCGCTGAGGATGTGCCAGCAAAGATCTAGGATTTCTTCATCCCAGTGGATTTTGTGGTGCTTGACATGGAATCAGACAAGGAAATGCTGAAGCCAGCGTTGATGTAGGAGCCGGAAACATTCGGTTTTGCATCAATGAGAAGGAGAAGAAATTCAAGTTCAGGCCGAGGATGGAGCAATGCTCAATGGTCAAGATCAAGTATGAGCCGAATCCACAAAACATCAGAGTGGTCGAAGTGAAACCGCCAAAGACGGACAACCTCATTGCGTTCATGAAGAACTTCCTAGTGAAGGAAGCGTCAATGAGTAGGCCCTGTCCAAATAAGACACCAGTTAAAACTGGTGTGCAGGTCAAGCAGCCTGTAAAGCCGGCGCCCAGAAAGCCGCCACCCACACCTAAGACCAAAAAGGTGTGGCAAGTCAAAAAGACGACATCCACTACACCAGCTCCGGAGTAGGGTGGAAAATCAATGATCTGAATTTTTTGGAGGTACGGTCTTGCTCGTCGGACTCAAAAAGACGTCGCCCTTGCCAATAGGTAAATTGGTATGTATCCCATATTTATTTTTCATCATTTTGATTTTTTGCATTAAAGCATGTTTTAAATTTCAAGGGAGTTTTACATTAGGATTTAAAATTTTGAGATAAATTTGCAAAATGAAATTTCTAAGAAAAAATAATAAAGTATTCGGCCATCATCAGCGTGGCCCCCCACACATGTGACCGTTGGAGTCCAACGGCTGAATGTGGGTCCAGCTTGGCCCACCAGGGGTTCGGCCGAACCGGCCAGGCAACGGTCGGCTGCCCCCTTTTGGGAGGTAATGGCTAGTGGGTCCCACTTCACAGTTGTAGCCATTATGGGTGCATTATATAAGTGGCTTGGCCGGGAGAGGGAGTTCATCACAATTCAATTCACTTTCACTCTCTCTGAAACTCTCTTTTGCTCCCAAATTCATTTTGAGCTAATTCAAGATTGTCTTAAATTTTAGTTCTAGCATTTTGATTTCCCTCTTGCATACACAAGTTATCTAGGTGAGAAGATTTGGCGGGTAGAAGTCTTGCTAGCTTTAACCCGCGCTCGAGTCTGTTTTTGTGCTTTGCTCATTTCTGCAGAGATGAAGATACGACTTTCCCGTCTGTTCAAGAATGGATCTGGTTCTCATTTGAGCCGTCACCAAGACGAGTTGAATGCTCACTCGTCCGCCGACATCGCAATGGAGGATGTAGACACCGCACCAAGTTTGTTGAGTGACTCCGACCTAGAGCTCGTTGGTGATCGGGAAATACAAGCCTACCGGATGCTCAAGGACCGGACATTTGCTCATAGCCAAGCCTATGATCCGTATGGATGTTGATTTTAGAACTGTGTGGAAAGTTGTTGGTTGGTAGAAATTTGCTGTGGTAGATGAGCCAGGCTCTCGTTTGCTTACTTTGCAATTTCTTTATACCTTGCGGGAAGTGGAAGATGGAATTTCTTTTCGTCTTTTTTTGTAAAGAATTTGAGCTTACAAGGAGAGGCTTAAGTACACTTCTCGGTTTTCATGATGTCTGTAGATCTGATTTTCAGAAGATAATTTCCAGTTTTGAGAAAAACAGATTTTGGGAAGATATTTTTGGTGCACCAATTTGCAGGAAACTCAGAACTAATGACATTTATAGTCCCACACTTAGGCTCATGCATAAATGGATTGCCATGACTTTGTTCCCTTGAGGAGATCTTAGACCTATTAGGGAGGATGAGTTGATTATTCTTTGTGCCATAGTTAGAAAGATCAAGGTTGTTCCTGTGCAATGTATGATTAGGCAATGGTTAGAAAATGTGAAGTTCACTGCTCCAATAGAATGCACTTCCTTGATTACTCGCATAGCAAAGGGGTTTGGAGTTCTTTCTCATGATCAGTGTCACACCCTGAAAATTCAAAATATATAAATTGTTGTTTAAATGGAATTTTTAGAATTTATTTTAAAAGTCGTGAAGAGAAGATCCAATTTTAATTAATAAATTCCAATATAAAAAGGGGCCAGATAAAATTTCAATAAATACTTTGCTTAATTCTATAATTCCTAGATTTTTCTAGGATTTATTTGAGCTAA